CGACCTTTAGTTTCTAAGTACGTATTTAACCATGTCTAAGCGTCGATTTATAGTTACAGGGAATTCTTTTTAAATGTATATGTCGTAGGCAAATAAGTTATTTCAGGCAAATGGCATTTTCCCGCGCAAATGCTATCTGCCTGGGGGTCGATTTTTGGCCGTACGTTTCCTTAAAACGTATACGTATTCGTAAAGAAACGTATGTTTGCAATTTTTGACCATACGTTTATATTGCGTATACGTTCAATTGTGTTCGTTTTTCTGCGAGCGGGTAAATGGCGTTCGCAAACGCTCGCAACTGACGTTTTGTGGGTTATGACGTATTGGTTAGTGTTGAAGTTTTGACTCTTGAGACTTGAAAGGTATCTACTAACAACAATGGATGAAGCTGTGCTGCGAATGTGTTTGTAATAGACAATTTAGAGAATGCTGAACGCAATTATCGCCCTAATAGGAACCGTAATCCTTGCAACCCCATAGAAGTCTTAAATGAAGCACAATTTATCAAAATGTATCAGCTACTTCTTTCCATGAGTCTTGCATTTTCTTGCACGTCAAAATCGTAGTTTATTTCCCTGCTATTATATCGGAGTGGTTTTTAGCAAACTCTACTAGCCACCCTTTTTGGTTTTGCGTGGTATTGCACCCTCGCTTTGGCGTGTCCATCGTGTTTTCAGTATTCATGCTAATCAGTGCCTAAAATATTATTATTCTTTAATTTGAAATGACTGAGCAATATCTTCACCTCACCACCTAAGCTCAAACCCAAACGTCAATGAACGTCAAATAGTCCGTTTTAGTTCTAATCAATCAATAAAGGCGACGTTGTCATATGCACTGTACGTTTCGGTTCCAGGCAGTTACGAACAGTAGTCAAAAATTGCATTTGGAAAACGTATACGTTTTTAAAGCTGAATTTATAGTTCCGTACCCGCAACGCCGTACCGTAACGTTTAGAATACTAAATAATAATAAAATACTAAATACCCTACTTGTTGCGTGTAAACATTTATAGTTAACAACGTTAACGTTGCGTTAGAACGGTTACGGTACGTAGGAAATGCCCAAATCTCATTTCTTACGGTAAATCGTGCTAACGCGTTTGTCGTCGGCAGTACTCGGATAATTCAAACAGTTGAGTTTATCCTGACGTTCGTTTCGTTTATTTACAATAATTATTGAATTGACACTTTGTTGGTTATTATTATTTTGAAATGCACGTTACTCTTACTGACATATGTCATAAGTTCGTGGCGCAAGCTCATCTCTTACCACTACGGTAACTATAAATCGTATAATTTTCGTTAACGTAAGATTTTACGGTTTCGTTTTTACGTTCTTAAGGCTACGGAACTATAAATCCGGCTTAAGTCTTCGCATCTAAGCGTATACGAATAGATGCCACTGGTTTCAAAAATCGACCCCCTGGGCAAATGACTTCATCAAAATAATTTCTATTTAAAAGTCATTTGCCTAGGGAAATGGCATTTGCCGAATCCGTTGTTGGGCAAATGACTTTTAATGAATGAACGCGTTGTGCATCTTCATCGGTGGTTTTCTATTACCTATATTATTGTATTGTTATTTCGTGAGTTTATTTAATTTATAATTTTGTGTTAGGTACCAGAAAGATGTTTTTATTTTTCCGCAGGTAAACTTACCCCGAATTTTCCGTACTGTCTTTTAGCATTGGAAATGCTTATGTTTTGTATGGGTATAAATTTACTAGGTTTGCAGAGTAGAAAAAAAGACAGTGGTGCCGCGTCTAGGGTTGATTGTACCGTACTCGACTGCAATCGGTAGATTCAGGAAAAGTCGCGGATACTGTCGATACGGTACTCACTTAACAGTGCGTAGGGGTTTTCTTAATTCGAATTGAAAATTCTCGCACATCGCCCGTGATAGTATTACAAGCATGTTACGCCGCTTATTATTCAGAAAGTTTACGTTTGCGACACGAGTGAGCTTGCGAGCGAGTGGAGCAAGATTATTCCGTGTGAAGGGTTATTTATGACTATAGGTTATACGGTTATCATTTCCATTGTCTCCGATGGTTCAAGGATTGCGAAATCTGTGAATTTTTTTCTACTCGACAAACCTGGTAAATTCATACCCATAAAAAACATAAGCATTTCCAATGCTAAAACTGATCAAATGCATGGAATCATGATACTAATATACGGCATGGAACAGATTACTGTAGGCAACCAACATTACACGCGACGTACTGGAGCCGTTTTTACAGTTCCTGAACGTTACCACCCTCCTACCGAGTTAATATTTTTATTTGTTACTCAGTTGTAAACGGTGATTAAAAAGACAAAACGCAAACGGGTAAACGTCATGTTTAAACGCTACTGACTTGTAAAACTGACAGCAGACTTGTAAAACTGACAGCAGACCTGTAAAAATTTTACACGTTAGTAATCTAGTAATTTCATTGGCCAGAATTAATGCGAAGTCTCTGTTACATGGATCACATGATATTTTAGACATTTCTTCAAGATCAATTTAAGAACTAATTATTTACGTTTACAAATGAGTAACAAATAAAATATTGTACATTATACGCCAGGTAAAAGTTTTTACTGGCTCTAGGAGATGACAGGCTCGCCTAACGGCTCGCCAGTCAACTTCTCCTATCGCCAGTAAAAACTCACTTACCTGGCTAATAATGTAAAATACTATAACCTTATCGCCTTTGCTATACATCTGTGTGTAAAAAATCACAATTTGATGCTAATAATAAAAATAAAGACTATTTGCTAACCCATTTGACATTGAATAATCAAGTTACTGTTTCTATAGCAGATTGGTTATCATTTAAAACAAATTCGTGTAGAGTTGGTTGCGTATAGCCATGTATTCCATGCGTTTGATCCGTTTTTCCTTTCCAATTAGATACGAAGCAAGGTTGGTATCACTAACCTTGGAACGAAGTACGCATAAAGGAAAGTCGTGATCACGATGTGTATCGTGGTCACGAACTTATAAATTAAGATGGACTGCTAATGCTGAATTGACAAATGACACCTACATGGGGGCAGCCATGATGTGCACATTAACCTCACGCTTTCTAAATAAATTACAGTGACACATGTCATTTTCCAAGGCTGCAATAGTCTCAAAACTTGAGCACTAGGAAAATTCCCCTAGAAAATAACTAAAATGTGAACATCATGACCGCGCCCATGCTAGGGCCATTTCTACCTCTATGCAATTGTTTGATCAGCAGTCCATCTTAATTTATACGTTCGTGATCGTGGTCGTGATAAATTTTCGATATGCCAATATTGCGTTTTCAGGACGTTTTGAAGCACCACAGACCCCAAAAAAGTGATTTTTAGCTTGACGTCTGTGAGTGTGGGTACGGGTGTTTGTGTGTGTGTGTGTATGTGGTTCGTCTTTTGTGAACACGATTTTATTTTAAATTGCGATCAATCAAACGCCGCAGTCTTTTGATTTTGTAGAAGTTTTAATATTCACTCGTGTCAGAAATTAGTCCTTTATCAAGCTTTAGCAAGATTAACATAGTTCTTTTCAGGTATTAGGTACTAAGTGCGAGATTATATCGGCCTCGAAAACACGTTTGTGTTTATAAAATTAAAAACAAAGGGTAGGTAAATGATGTCGCAGTCGAGCCACGTGTTGGTATAACCTTGTAATAATTGCACTTAGTACCTATTTGATAGTGGACAGGTGGATTCTATGTAACATATACACTTCGAAATGTTCTAAGTAAATACGGTCTTTTGTCTTTCTTTAGTGCGGCGGTTTTCTTAACTTGCTCGCAATTACTCGTTATTTTGGTAAAGGTTTCCTAACAAACTGAACGTAGGTACGCCATTTTGCCGTGGATGTTTCCCTTTACGAAATAACAATAAGTTTTTCGTGTTCGTGTCGGTGTGAAAAATCTTCTTTTTCTCTCTTCAAAGTACTTAAGACTTACCTTCTGTACCTCTTTAACCCGCTAGCTCAGATAATAAAATGGGTGCAAATAGGAAGATAATTCGTTCTATTCTAGCTCACGGTATAAAATTCATTAATCATAAAAACGTAACCAAAATTTGGAAGAATGTTATTTTGACGTTACTACTCTCATATGCTTCCGAGATTGGTATGTAAATGCAACAATTTGGGTTTCCTTTATACGCAAACTTCTTGACCTCCTTGAGAAATTACAGAGAATTAACATTAATTATCTTTAATACCTTTATTTGAAAGTCAATGGATTCAAAACATATAAATATCTCCGCCCTTAAAAGAACGGTAAAGCTTAATAATCAAAAATAACGGACATTTCCTTTAACTAGTACCTTAATCAAATTTAACTGTTATAGGTACAATCCCCTAAAATACATAAAACCCCAAAAGTCAAATATAAAATTGTTCAGATCGATCCAAAATACGCAAACTTCACGATTTAATCAAGTTTATCAAATATAAAACTGCAAATTCTACCTTAATTCGTCTCGGTAATGGCGTTGCTTCTTATCTAATCGCCTTACATCCGCTGGGAACAGGTTGGTGACCTCGCATTCCAGGCGTTCGGTTCTGTCGCTACAGGAAATCAAACTGGTGGTGGTGGACTGCCAAATTTCCCCAAATCTAATCTTCTCAATGTGGAAATACCCAAAAATACTTGCTGGCTTTGCAAGCAAAACGCAAAGCTAAGTTAAACAAGCGCTGGCGGAAAACAATACGCCGGCGGGAAAAACTAACGCTGCATAGGCTCTTCTTCCATACTGGGAAACAAACTACGTTGGCACGCAGACCCCAAATTCCACTCTTAGATAACGATGTTGGCGTAAAATATCTCGATAACTTTATTTACGCTATATCAATCTTAAAACGTTCGGCGACGTCACACTACCACTTTTGATTTTTTGTTGCGTATTGAAATCGTAGTACGCTAACTGCGTAAGGTGCCTTTACACTTACGCTCTTTCGTGCGGTATAAACGCGTGGCGTTCCAATCGCGCGCGAACGACACGCGCCAAGAACGTGGCGTTCCAAAAGTGTGTTGTTAGAAACAAGAAATTTGTAACGTTCCAATCGTGGAGTATTGTCTACGCGCCCGGAACGTAAGAGGAAAAGAGTGTCAGTGTAAAGCCGTTTTCGCCTGCTTTCGCACGTTCTTTGCTTGGCTCGTGGCATTTTAGAATTTCTAAAAGTTTTAAGAAAGTTTTATCAAAAAATGTATAAAATAAGGCGGAAAAAATGTATTGCTGCACTTTGTGTGGCTGTGCAGATGAACCTAACGGAAGAAGAAAAGAAAAAAAGAGTTTGGGTTAAAAAGTGGAGGGAGGATCGGAACAAATTTGGTCACATGCCACTTTTAAACGAACTTCGGCTAAATTTCCCAGACGATTTTAAAAACTACCTTCGTATGGATCCTGATACATTCAAAATTTTATTGAATTTGATTTCGCCAATAATTTCGAAACAAAATACGAAGTTAAGAGAGAGCATAAGTGCCGAAGAAAGACTTATGGCGACTTTACGATATTTAGCAACGGGGCGCTCTTTCGAAGATCTTAAGTTTTCCACTGGAATTTCATCGTCTGCCTTATGTCAAATTATTCCTGAAACTTGTAAAGCTCTTTACCAGGTTCTGAAGAAAGAATACATGAAGGTAAGTTTATTATTTTATTATTTACACTATTCATTCGTATTAATATTAGCAATAGATGTGTAATACTCTACTAAACTGCTTGAGGGTACAACAACAGGAGGTTGTGGTGCATCTTCGCATGGCAATGTAACTTGCCAACACTGCCTGCTATCTGATGAGTTTAAGGTATAAGATGATGAAGATGATGCAGGTCTTTGCTCATTTGCGTCGGACAATGTAACCGCATCTGACAGCTTATTTAATAAACCACGAGAAACAATGCTATTGATTAAGCTTTCAGCATAAACAGCTTGTTCGGGGTTCATTCTTTTTAATTCTTTGGCCCATGAAATTCCAACTGCATCATATTCATCGATATCATTGTGTGCTTGAAGTTGCTGCTTACAAAATTCCATAAATTCTTCATTTCTCTTCTTAATAGTGGTTTTCTTTTTCTGCCTTGGTGTGGTACTAAGAGATTTCATCCCTGATGAATATGCGGATTTTGGAGTTGAATTTGAAGCATTATCATTCTGAAAATTTATGATATGAGAACTTATTCACTTTGAGCGATGAATTAATAAGACTAAGGTCCGGTTGTACAATGTCAGTTTACACTTCAGTTTATAGTTAAATTGTGGATTAGAAGATTTGATTGGCTAATATTTCACAAGTTGGCCAATCGTGTTTCTGGAATCTGTCAGTTAAACTAATCTGAGGTTTAAACCGACACTGTACAACCGGACCTAAGTAATATTTTGTTTTAGTTTCCATCAACAAAAGAAGATTGGTGTAAAATAGCCACCAGTTTTAAAAATAAGTGGCAATTTATTAATTGTGGAGGAGCTCTAGATGGAAAGCACATACGGATTGTTCCTCCTCCTCATTCTGGCGCTCAATATTATAACTACAAAAACTTTTATAGTATTGTGTTACTAGCCCTTGTAAACGCAAATCACGAATTTATATTTGTTGACGTTGGAAAAAATGGCCGACATTCAGATGGGGGTATTTTAGAGTATACCGATTTTTATGATGGTTTGATGAATGGTAACTTGATTTGATACAATAATAAGTAGCTAATTTTATTATGTTGTATTTCAGGTCACTTACATTTGCCAGACAACAGCGAAACAGATAAAAATCTTAATTTTGTTTTTCTGGGTGACGAGGCATTTTCGTTGCATGAGAATTTTTTAAAGCCGTTTCCTCAAAGGGATTTAACGTATGAAAAGCGAATTTATAATTATCGTTTATCACGCGCGCGAAATGTCTCAGAAAATGCTTTTGGCTTACTGTCTGCAAGATTTAGAATTTTGCATACAGCCATACATATGACCAATCCACAAAACATTACGTATGTTGTTTTAGCTATTTGTGCTCTTCACAATTTCCTAATTAAACGAAAAACGTTGTATGCCACTCTGAGATCGTTTGATCAAGAGGATGTGCTAACCCATGAATTACAACAGGGAGAATGGCGCAACGTCACTACCCAACTCGAAAATTTAGAAACGAGCCTGCAAAAAAATGTATCGGTAGCAGCAAAAACTAATCGCGAAAAATACATGGAATATTTCAATAAAGAAGGACAAGTGCCCTGGCAGGATGCCATGTTAAAGAAAGGAAAATCATAATATTAATTATGTACTATATAGCTTACCTCAGTCAATAAAAGGTCCTTATTAGATTTATTTTCTCTTCTTTCCTCCACAAGTTCATCTGTTTCCCATTCAGTGTGTTCTGAAAGTTGTGTGTCTTGATTTTCTTCTTCCTCATCATCCTGGCTATTATTATCGACTACTGTTTCGTCATGAGACATATTACTCTGCACACTTGCGTTTGGTATCTCTTGATCGCAAGTAAAAAGTAGTAGATCATAGTACCAGAGCGTTGGTTCATACACATCCGGCACTCCTGCTCCGCTCCTTTTCGATTGCAAAAGCTTTTTCAGTTCTTTACGGAAAGAGCCCCGGAAGCTCTGAATTTTTTTTATCACATAATCTCTATTTGCTTCTGTATTAAACGTTTTGCAAAAGTCAACTAGCTTGTCATATGCAAGATTTTTTAAATTTTTGTTAGTGTAATCTTTGGATTTCACTTTCCAAAGACATGGATGGCCTTTGTAAATTTCTATAAAGTTTGCAACAATTTCTTTTGACCAATATCGGCTGTCCGCCATTTTGTACAGAACCAGAGAAACACCGACTCTTACAATGTTTTCAAAATGAAGTACCTGAAGAAAAATATCTGTTTAACGTTTATGCACGAGTATCTTTGATTCGGATACACTTACCAATTTTTATAATAAAACGTGGTCTAAACGCGCGAAAACCGGCAACCAAAATGAGCACGTTTTTTAACCGCACGCAATTCCTGCAGTAATGCGCTCGCGCTCGGCATGCAGGACCGGAGTTACATCCAGATTCGCATTCTTTCGCGCGCGATTGGAACGCCACACGTTTAGACCGCGCGAAAAAGCGTAAGTGTAAAGGTACCTTATACCGCGTACTTCAATTTTCCAGACACTAATCACCACCTTTTCTACTCGATGGTTGAACGCCGACTACCTGCACTTTTTACTCCGCATAAAAATTCCCCTCGCACCGTATTAATTGCATTCATATAAAAATGAAACAAAAGCACTTTAAAAATAGAATCTGTCCTTTGCACTTTATATCTAAGTTACATTGTGTAAGAACCATATTTTAGGGTAGTCCTTAATAACGAAAAAGTAAAATGTCAACGCAACCCCTATTTGATAAATGTGGCAAGCTGACTGGTCAAGTATGCGCGATTCTGCACATATGGGTGCAAGGGTCTTAAGGGATCGTGTTAAGGCAGTTAAGTTGCGTACGCGCTCTGGTCACGATCGTATAAGGGATGCTAGGTAGAGCATCGGACGTTAGTGAGTTTGGTGTAATAGCTCTTTATTGTGAGTGTCTCCCACGCGTAGGTGGTGAGTGTCTCCCACGTGTAGGTGGTGAGTGTCTCCCACGTGTAGGTGGTGAGTGTCTCCCACGTGTAGGTGGTGAGTGTGTTGTGCAGGCCATCGTGCTGGTCGTGCTTTGTTGTTGGGCTATGGTAAAACCCCTGGCAGATATCCGGATATATTCCTAGGCTTTTAGAGTGCATTATGTGCATGTGCCTATGACGCGGTCCCGCGGGTAGCTCCCGTTGATTATACCGCTGAGTGATCTACTCGCTCGAGTAGATCATGGTGTCGACCCAATACGAAACATAAAGGCCTCATTGTTAACACAAACAGTTCGGGGGTGAACTCGACCTGGATGTCGTTCCCAGGTAGGGCAATGAGTGACATAGATCGACGTTACTGATCTATTGGCCGAGGGTCCTAGTCAGAGGGCCAAGGCGGGATGTGTATCCTAAATAATACACGTGCGCGCGGCGTAACCCTTTCTCAAATAGGTATGAGCTCCATCTTAACCCTTCAGGAAACCATCTCCAACGACGCATTCAACCCCAATCGCCAACCGGAGTGTTCGGAGATCCAGGAGCGCTTAGTGCCAGTTCGGGGCTAACGCCCCCCGGTGAGTTACTTAATTAATTGGCGAGGATTGCGGTTAAGCAGTCGCGATATTTGTTTACATGACCCTTGAGCGCGGGAGACGACCAGTCAGACTGAATGCTGCCATACCAACCCCTTACGCGTAGATTACAGAGGGACGTTTCTAATGAAAGGTGAGTTTACAGTAGATTTGTCGCATCTTAATAATGAGTTCTGACCAACAATTGGCTCCAATTTAATTAGTGACTTCCCTTGTTGACATATAACATACCCCCCCTCTTACAATTGTAATAAAAAAAAAAGAATGTGTAAATTTGGTTTTAAAAACTCCAACCCATTACATTAGTTGCTGTTTACTTCCCATTAATGTGGTGAATCTGCTAAAAACTTGTAACGCATTACTTTTGTAAGCCCGAAAGTAGGTTCTAAATCCAATCTTGATGGTCCAAGATCCGAGAAGCGCTGTCCAATCGTCAATTCCATTGGTTTCAAACAAGTGAACTTACGCCCTCGCTACCCACTGTTGCTCTATTAAGGTTTCATGTTGTTTTGTTAATACTGGAAATCCGCTATTGTAAATAAACTGTGCATTTCATAATTGTATTTTGAAATAATGCTATTCTTCCGCTCGCACGACGACAGGCGAAACACAAATTTTCGTGGGTTTCGTTTATACAATTAGTTCACTATCATTGGATCATTAGTTAACAAAGGTTTATTGTACGTCGGTAACCAACGAAATCATACCCGTGTTTCTATTGGCTATTTCTTAATGATGTAATGATAGTGAACTAATGAGAATAATTGTATAAATTCGCCATTACATAGAAACAAAGGTTTATTGTACGTCGGTAACCAACGAAATCATACCCGTGTTTCTATTGGCTATTTCTTAATGATGTAATGATAGTGAACTAATGAGAATAATTGTATAAATTCGCCATTACATAGAAAAACGACTGATAGGAGACTATAAACGGAGTAACATGACAGAAAACACTTTAGGGGAGAGTGGGTAGGAATGGGTCACAGGAGGAATGGGTCATTGAGATTTATTTCCTATAAAACGGGTGCATTAGAACGGTTATTGAACAATAGATGGCAGCAGGTGTGAGTAACGTGTTCTAATTGCGTCTCGAGAACAACAGAACGAAAAGTGTAGTGACGGTTTTTTGGATTTTAGAAGTTAAAAGTAAGTTTTCGTGTTCCTATTTGATGTGAAATATTTTCCTTAAGACTTGAGATAGATAATTATCATTTTTTTCCTGAGAGATAGTAACTATAACGTGTTAAATGGCGCGATTAGTTTGTTGTCATCTAACCTTAAAATTGAACTAAATTTGTTCGTATGTTGAAATGTAGATGCAGGAGGAATGGGTCGCCAGGATGCAGGAGGTTTGGGTCTGACCCATTCCTCCTGCTCATTTAAATTACTACTTTATTTACATTAGCTATACTTATTTTCTAGAAATGCCTAGAGTTTGGACCAAAAAGACTGACCGTATAAGGAAAAGGCCAGAAGAAATCAGTGCAGCCATTGAAGAAGTAAGTAGGGGCTCATCATTAAGGGAAGTGTCTAGAAATTACGGGATATCGTTCTCAGCATTACAAAGACACGTGGCAGCATCCAGAAATAAAGAAAACTATGTTCATAAACCAAACCTAACGGTGCGCCAAGTTTTCACTCCAGAGCAAGAAGAGATGTTGGTAAAATATTTACAGAGATGCTCAAAAATGCATTATGGCCTTACTTCCAACGATACTAGAAAATTAGCTTACAAGTATGCTAAAGCATTGGAAATTAACATACCAACAAAATGGGATGAAGAGCAAAAAGGAGGAAGAGAATGGCTATTCGGTTTTCTTAGAAGAAATCCTCGGTTAGGTTTACGGACACCTGAAGCTACTAGCTTATCCAGATCGACTACTTTTAACCAACATAATGTGGGACAATTTCTTAATAACGTGCAAGACGTTTATAGCCGATTTAATTTTACTGCCGATGATATTTGGAATTGCGACGAAACAGGTTTAACTACTGTGCACAAACCTCAGAGAGTACTAGCAGAAAAAGGGTTGAAACAAGTAGGCCAAATTACGTCAGGGGAAAGAGGACAACTGGTAACTATGTGCTGTTTCATAAATGCTTCAGGAAATACAGCACCACCTGCATACATCTTTCCAAGGCAAAGAAATCTTGACATAATTGGTAATTCTGCCCCGCAAGACAGTTTAATCCTGGGACATCCCAGATGACTGGAGATAATTTTGTAAAAGTTTTCGACCACTTTGTCAAACACGCACGATGTTCGAAGGAAAGGCCCCTCGTCTTGTTTTTCGACAACCATGATAGTCATGTGTCAATAGAAATTATCACAGCAGCTCGAAATTCAGGCGTATACCTTATTACTTTCCCTCCACATTCCAGCCACCGACTGCAACCGTTGGATGTTGCAGTGTATGGCACTCTCAAAACTCGCTATAACCAGGCTTGCGATGACTTTATGGCAACTAATCCAGGAAAACCTATTACAATTTACAATATTGGTGCATTATCTCAAAAGGCATTTGTTCAAGCTTTAAACAAAAGCAACATCATAAAAGGCTTCGAAAAAGCTGGAATTTGGCCGTTCAGCAGGGACATATTCTCCGAAGACGACTTTTTAATGGCAGCTGTTACAGATCGCGTATTAGAAACTCCAGATCAACCTGAACCTTCTGCCAGTGCAATAGATCGTGAAAGACCAGTGACACCTCCTTCTGCTACTAGCCGAGTACATGCGACACCGCCTCCTTCTACTACCCAAGAAAATGTGGCATCTCCTGCTTCTACTAGCCAAGTAAGAGCGACACCTCTCCCTTCTACTAATCGAGTAAGTTTATAATTTTGAATTACTTATCTATTCCACATTTTTATTTTAGATACTTTCCCCGGAAGATGTTATTCCATATCCAAAAGCGCCTCCGAGAAAACTTATTAAAGTTGGACGAAAACCAGGACGAACTCGTATATTAACTGACACTCCGGAAAAGGAAGAAATTGAAGAACGTAGTAAAAGGAAAGTAAAGTTCAATTTAATGGAGGGAAAAAAAGAAAATAATCTAAAAAAGATAAAAAGTAAGCATGATAGCAACCGAAAGACAGGCATCTGTATAACAAAGACCGCAGAAAATGAGAGCTCTAGTGATTCAGAATCATTTGAGCCGCAAGATTCCAGCGACAGCGAATTTATTCCTGAGTTACCAGAAAAAGATTTTGATTTTTCGGCTGAAAATGTAGATGTGGACGACTTTCTTGTAGTTAAGTTTTGCACGAAGACCACTCTAGTTTATTATGTGGGGCGTGTGGAAAAGGAATTAGATGAAGAATACGAAATGAATTTCCTTCGTAAAAAGGGGAATGGGTTTATATTCCCACTTGTTCAAGACATATCTTGCATAAAAAAGGAAGATGTTGTGTTAAAACTCCCATCTCCCTTTAAATCGGGTTGTAGCAGTAGACTTTTTTCTGTTCTTTATTTTGACGTCGATCTCACAAGTTTTGAAAAACTTCGGTAAAATTTAAATTTTTTTCGTTTCAATTAACCTAAATAAAATATTCGTTTTATTAACTAATACATCCGGTAAAGACCAACGTTTGTAAGTAACGCATTCCTCCTGCGCCATGACCCAAACCACCTGCAAGCAGGAGGAATGGATCAACACGTGACACTTGGTAATATACTCTGCACTATCTACTAATTTTTAATTTTTTATTTCGGTAAACTGAATATGAAGAGTCCTTTAATGTCAATGCGATCCATGAAAAAGTTGGTTTGCAAAGTTAATCATATGGAAATTAGGGACTATAAAGCCAAAAATGACCCATTCCTACCCACTCTCTCCTATTTATTTATTTGACTTCATTCAAGCACGAATAGGTACAACTGAAAGGGGAAACACGTGAGTCAAAAGACAAGAGGTAAAGGGCATGAGGCGACAAATTTGAGACAACTGGCAATAGATAAAAAAAACGGAAAATTGACACGAGGAGCAAGAGACTAAAGACAACAGAGAAAACTCGAAAGACAAAGACAGACGACATAAGAGTGACGAAGAAGGTACAAAGTTGTTATTTAGTATTTCAGCTTTTACGTAGCAGTCGGCAGCTTCACAGAAAGAAACTCGAATAATCTAAGAAAAAGTATCTGCGCCTAGAATAGCTAACAATGCATAGAGGATACTACAAAAATCATATTTTGCCTCCTATCGATTATAGTAAGCAACTAATAATTGTCGGTATCTTCCTCGCATTATTAGCTAATGAATATTTGCACCGTCAAATTTATACTGAGTCTGAGACTAAACGTGGCGTCGCACATCAGTGGCGTCGTAGATGATCGGGTAAGCTGCAGTTTCGATTACAATATTTTATAGTGAATATGATTGGTTACTCCTGGAACAGATATACACAAACAACAGATTGCTAACCTCATTTAGGTATACTGAAAAGCGCCCTCTATTGAGCAGCATGTACCTTTCCAAACTGTAAAATTACTCTTATGGATGTATCGTATGTATCGCTGCAAAAAAATTAAAGCGAATGAGTAGCTCCATTGTTCAATTAAACAAACGCAGCTCAGCTTACCTACTATCACTGTAATAATATCAATAATGGCCATTTGCATCGACAAATTAGCTTAAGCGTAGCCTAAAATCTATGGCAACGATTATTGCGACGTTGGTTGTCATGGATTATCAGCTAAGCTCGGCTTAAATTTGTCGGTGCAAACCTTAGACACGGAAAGAGGTGCAAACGGCCATGAGAAGCAATTCGAATTGTGCGAACTTTAGCGTTTGAAAATTTTTGCAACGACATGCATAAATTCTTAAGCGTCATTTTACAGTTTGAAGCGGTACATGTTTATACTGCTGCTCAATAGAGGGCACTTTTAAGTATACCTGAATGTGTTAGCAAATTGTTGTTTGTGTATATCTGTGCTCCTACTAATTTACGGGCGAACTATATATAATCACGCAAAAAATAACGCGATTTTTCCAGATAGTAATAGCCAAATTTATAATAATCGCATTAATAGTAATAATAACCAGCGGAAGAGGTGGTCGGTTTTCTTTGCGCCAAAGATTGTATTTGATGCATTCTGGCTTCATAATTTTGCACCGCATTTCTCAACTTCTTAATATTTTGCATGAGAGCAATATTATCAGTCTCGGCTTTTCGCAGAGCTTCCTCATTCACCTGATACATTTGCTCGGTTTGGTTGTTTACGAAATTAATTTGATCGGTAAGTTCACGTCCTCTTTTCGCTTCCTCCTAATCGATCAAAAATTGTCATTCCTGTTTAAAATCATGACACAGTTATTACCTCTACGCTCCTCTGGGTATCGTATAAAGCCGCTCTTAGCTGTTCGTACAAACGCTGCTGTTCAGTTAAATTAGATTCCTTCTTGTCTTTTAAGTTCTGAAGTGCGTCCATTCTGCGTTGATAAGCTTCCTTTACTTTAGCCAAGACAAGAGAAACTTGTTGTGCAAAACGTTCAGCTTCCTAAAAATAACTGAGTGTAGGCTGTAATTGTAACACAAAAAGTGAAAATACTTCAGCCTTTAGGCGTCCTTTTTCTCCTTCTTTGCGAAGCTCCTTTCTCATTTGTGACGATATATTTTCATGCTTTTTTTGCATTCGAATCGCAATGGTCTCTTTTTCATTTGCCAGTAAATCTATAAATCTAAAGAGGGAATTACTGAATTATCACGAAATGGAGTCTAAATCAGCCTAAATCGTATCCTTCGTTATAAGCATTTTTAAAAGACAAAAAAAATTGGACCCTTCTTTAAATAATAAAAAAAGATTCCTTTTTAGCGCATTTCCACAAAAATAAAAAAAAATGCGCTATTGTGGCCACTTTGTCCGTCCGTCCGCTCGTTTTGCGACGCTACTAGTTCTTTATCTTAAGAGCTATTGTTCTACTTTTTTCGCTATTTGGTTCGTTATGGTGTCGAGTCTTGTACCAAGGAAGGATTTTTTTCTGTACCGCTTACAAAAAAAGTTATTGTAAAAAAAAAACAAAAAACCGTTTTTTACATGTTCCATAATTTTACACTTTTGCCGTTTATTAACGATCCTAGAGATCGTTTAAAATTTTGCATTGCTATCTGTCGATTGCCGGTTGGCCTGTCCGTCTGTTCCTTTGTCTGTCTGTCCATCTATCTGTCCGTGTGAACGATAACTTTGTTTAGAAATGTTCAATCGCTTTTACATCTCCGTTAGTTATGAACTGAATTGCATGAAATTCAATATGGGCATAGCTTTAGCCATATAATACGCAATGCCAAAAGTTGAATCGAATCGATTCAAAATCACAGTGCCCTTTTCGCATCTCGACCATTTATAAACCGAATTGCAAACTTTTTTGCTTATAAAAGTACAGTGTGAGCAACAATGATTGAAGCGTGCGTCATCACCGCTTGTTCCTATTAATATCAAAACTACCTTCTTTGTATGAAGTTGTATACGAAAATGACGTTCTGCGCTGTCACAGTGACGTGCGTCTATTCGTATTTCGTATCTTGTATCAAATCAGCATATGCTATGAGCGGCACATTGCCAATTTAGCTGAAGCGGCACGCTTCAATCTTTGTTGCTCACTCTGTATTTGAATGAAATTTGATACATAGGCACTTGGAATAAAGGAAAATCAAAACGCCAATTTCAAAATTTGGTTTTGCGCATGCGCAGTGCCACCTTTTTTATTTATGGAAGCATTTAAATGAAATTTGATACATAGGTGCTTGGAATAAAGGAAAATCTAGCGCCAGTTTCAAAATTTTATTTTGCGCATGCGCAGTGCCAACTTTTTTATATATGGAAGCATTTAAGTGAAATTTGATATTTAGGCGCTTGGAACAAAGGAAAATCTTACATTAGTTTGAAAACTTAGGTTTGCGCATGCGCAGTTCCAACTTTCTTATTTAGAAAAGCATTGAAATGAAATTCTTCTCATAAACTGAACTTGAAGTAGCACGTCAAAAATGGATTGCCCGTGTGCAACGCTATCTTTCATATTTGTGGCCGGATTTTTACGATTTTAACAGAAGTTGCATCTTACAAATGGGAAATGAATACAAGTGGAAATGCGCTTTATGTAAATCGTTTACGATTACTTTTTAACTTGTTTTATATTAAAACATCGGGTGGTGCACGGTAAGTAGGAACATAGGGATTTAACATGGGAAATTAGTTTTATGCAATATCCTACCCTCCTGTACATTTTACAGAAAAAACTGTTGTTCAGAATTAAAAGGTGCATACAAAACCATTGTTACATGTTTTATTAAGCTTTTGGTATACCCGCAAATTTCAACATTTCTGTTATTACTAGCAATTCATAAAACAACACAAGTCATGGCTCTTACTACTATACAGGAATTATATAAAATTTTTAATTTTTTTCGCATAAAAGGATATACTTTTTTTTATAATTTCGTTGTTTATTAAGTCAGGACCAGGAGCTTTTTTGACTTTTTGTTTATATACTGCCTTTGAAATTTCCCTATGAGTAAATTTTTCGAAATTAACATAATTTTGAATTTCCGTTTCCAAATATTTTCTTTTATCTTTTTGTAATTCGGTTGTTTCAATTAAATCATCATCTGTTATTAAATTTGTTACTAATTTTTCTGCTGTTTCTATCCATGTAGTATCATATTTAATTGTGGAAGGTATATTTTCTCTTTTCATTTTATTTAATTTATAAATTGCACCCCGAGGTTCTTCATTTCCGTGTTTAGTTACAAAATCTTTTAAATGATTATTTTTAACTTTTCTAATTAGTGATGTATAAATTTTAAGTTCATTTTTATATTTTAATTTTAATTCAAATTTTTTATCCATATTATTATTAGTCTGATATAATTTTCCAATTCTCATCACTTCTTTTCTTTTATTTGTTAAATTTTCATTCCACCAAAAATTATATCTTTTTTTACTGTATTTGATTTTAGGTATTAATTCATTGCATATGTTTTGAATATTGTTTGTCAATTTAAGAATATTTTCTTCAATATCATTTATATTTTCTATTTTTATTTTTTCATTAAAGTAATTATCACTTGATAATCTTTGAAATAATTTCCAATTTGCTTTTTTTATTGAATATCTGTTTTTATTCTTTTCTGCAATAATTTTTTCTTGTTTGCCGAAATTTATATCAAATGTAATAGCATTATGAATATTAACTGTCCTATGTATGTATATGGATTGTTAGGTTTATTTGATATTATAAGATTATTTTCTGCTATGAATTGTTCCATTTTTTCTCCACAGTTAAAATTTCGTTCAAATTGCTGCATTAATAAGAAAGTTGCGTTTTGCGACTGCGCCGCCTCGCCTCGCATATGTACCCAAATCACCATCGATTCTAGAATGTGGACGAGTAATATAAGAGACCAATGTAAAAACCCTGCGTCGTTCTAACCCGCAGTCTCCATATAAACGCCAAAATATGACGAAAGTGCATTTCGAAGACATTGGGGCGGAGGGGAAGAGTAAAACCCTAATGTAGTTGCCATCCAGTCTCACGCATTTTATAGAACCGTTGACACATTGCTCGGTTTCGCCTCGCACATTGAAACGCAAAAGAAGGTATAGCTCGGCTTCGGCGGTTGCGCCGCCTTGCCTCGCGCATGTACCGAAATCGCCATCGGATCTAGAATGTGGATAAGCAATATGGTAGACCAATGTCAAAAACCGCATCGTTCTAACTGTTCTAACCCTCGACGTTCCCGAATAAAGGCCAAAATATGAAAAAAGTGCCTCCTATATGCAATTAGGAGGTGGGGGGGGGGGGGAGTTTCGGTAGATTAACGTAACGTAAAACCCTAATGTAGATGCTACCCAGATTGTATAGAATCGGTTGACATGTTGCTCGGCTTCGCCTCGCACATTGAGACACAAGAGAAAAGACATCGCTCGGCTTCGGTCGCATTTGACCGATCGTAGGTTTTTCCTAGGTCGTCTCGTTTGCGCGCCGCGAGGGATAAAGCGGAGCGACGTCGATGAGGGCAAACTTTGCCCTCCGCCCCGAACGGCCCATAGTTTTCGGACGGGACCCCGTACGTTTTACGCGGGCCAGTCGGGGGGCTATCGATTAAGTGCGTGTCGAGGGGGTGAAGGAGGGCTACTTTTCGAGCAATTCCGCCCCCTTTCAAACCAGGGGGGAGGCGCTAACTTCCGCGATCGGCTGCATATTTTACACATGGTGCCTCAAAAGTATGGAATAATGGGTCTGCAGGTTTAACAGTTTGTGTTATATTATGGTTATGAAATTTGTTTCAAATGAGAATTGCTTGAAATTTTTACACATTTTGGCACACAGCTAAATATTTCATGATGACGTCATTTGGAATTATGAAGTCACCCTGTATTTTATTGATAATTTACATCCCTCTGAATAATACCTACCTTTTAAAATGATAGGTTTAAAAGTGTAAAGTTAACGTTTTTCGAGATGCAAATATTATTTCTGATGCATCTAGCTTTTACTTGTACACAAAATGGCAACTTTTAACGTAGGGTGTACATCTGAGGTCATGCGACCTTGGAAATAATGTTTATTTGTTACTCAGTTGTAAACGTTGATTAACAAGACAAAACGCAAACGGGTAAACGGCATGTTTAAACGCTACTGACTTGTAAAACTGACAGCAGACCTGTAAAAATTTTACAAGTTAGTAATCTAGTAATTTCATTGGCCAGAATTAATGCGAAGTCTCTGTTACATGGATCACATGATATTTTAGACATTTCTTCAAGATCAATTTAAGAACTAATTATTTACGTTTACAAATGAGTAACAAATAAAATATTGTACATTATACGCCAGGTAATAGTTTTTACTGGCTCTAGGAGATGACAGGCTCGCCTGACGGCTCGCCAGTCAACTTCTCCTATCGCCAGTAAAAACTCACTTACCTGGCTAATAATGTAAAATACTATTGTATCTAAAAACCTTGGAGTATGAAATATTCTGTTACATTGACAATGCTGTTCAAATTTTTACAAGCGCTACACTACAGTCGGTTTTCCACCAAAAAGGAGCGAAGATATGAACAAAGCAGGGGCGGCGCGACAATAGGACATTATGTAAGTACCAAGGGTTTTTTTAAAAACACTTTCACGGTGAGTATAACGTTCCAAGTGGCTCAAAACCACGCAGAAATCTGTACACATTTTTGTTAGAACCGTAACCATTCATTTATTTATAGGAACCACAGGGAAATTGAATGAACACTACATCCCTCAAATAGGCAGTTCCCAAACTCTCTGTGGAGTGAAGAGGATACCCTTGTAATACAACTTTAACTAAAAGCAGGTTTCATTTTTATTTTCGTACCTATATAAAGACGATTGTGCAGAAATGAACAATTTAAATCGTTGAAGAAACTGTGGGATAATTCTTACTAAGGGACTAAGCGATCGTATGGATGAATTTCAAAGTAGTATAGGGGCCACCTGAGCCAGACAGTCCCATGGCGCGCCACATCTGCGCTATAGCACAGATCTACACATACACAGATTGCTAACTTTATGCAATTTTTGGGAAACAAATTTAGATATACTTAAAAGCGCCCTCTATTGCGGAGCAGTACAAACATGTACCGTTTAAAACTGTAATATGACGCTTATGGATTTATGCATTAGATGTCGCTGTAAAAAATGTAAAGCGGTAAAGTGTGCATAATTCGAATTCGTTATTCGTTATTAATTATGGCTCAGCGTACCTCCTATCATACCATATCACTGTAATAATACGAATATTAAGGAATTCGAATTGTGCAAACTTTAGCGCTTTAATTTTGTTTCAGCGACATCTAACGCATAAATCCATAAGCGTCATATTACAGTTTTAAACGATACATGTTTATACTGCTCCACAATAGAGGGCGCTTTTAAGTATACCTAAATTTGTTTCCAAAAAAATGCATAAGGTTAGCAATCTGTGTATGTGTAGATCTGTGGCTATAGTGAGGTTTGTCCCTTTGCGGCTACATACATGAGACGTATGGCGATAGCTATTTTTACTCTGTAAATGCGTGCTAGTAAGTAGTTTTAATTTTTGTTTTATTTTTTATTAAATAGTGTAAATATGTATTTAAATTATAGAAATGAATAATAATTAATTTTTCTCATCTTATCTTATTGTTTACATTAAAAGTGTGCGGGTCCCCTATACACTTAGCAACTACTTTGCTTTCAGAGAAGGTTGAGATGTAATGCAAATTACAATATTCGACATTGGTGATGAGATTCGTGCGTACTGCATCAATTCAACACTTCAATGCACTGCACCTATTGGAAAGTTTTCTTTGGGGTTAGGGCAACAACTGAATGCCGTTGTGCAATGTTTCTGTCCAATATATTACTCAGGTAAGTTAATAATCTATTTCTTTTAACGTTAGGTCATTGACCTCGGATAACCTTGACATTGTAATTTGACACCTCAAAAAATGCGATTATTGTTTTGGGTGACCTTGAAAATGTACTTTGTCAATTCGACCGAAAAAAAATAGAGTCATTGACCTTCGATGATAAAAAAAATGGAAGCAATTATTACAATGTATTTTCGACTACCTATCATGTTGATTCGAGGACATTTGACAAATTTAATGACGAGTTACGGACATTCCTTTCTGCAAGTAAACTTGCTACCGAATTTCTATTTATACACTTGCTAATTTGCTTGTTCAAGTTGGAACAACAAAATGGCTCCATGTGTGTGGTTGCTATTGCTATTGCAACAACATTAATCAACGACATAAGTTCTAAGAGAACAAAAGAAAACGAAGAGAATGGATAAAACGTAGGGAATACTATAAATGCAAATACTTTAAAAACGGTTAAAGCAAATGTCAATATAATATTATATATTTTTAAAATCAGACAGGAAAGTTCTATTCAATTTTTGGAAAATATACGGGGCGAGGCGTTTCATTAAAAATTTACAAAATTTGCATTTTTTTACTATTTACTACTTTACTAATATACAGGGTGATTCCTATAGTACCTGCCACCGTTTGGGAGCGTATAGGGGGTGCCCAGGGGAGTATTTTGATATAGGACACTTGGGGTCGGAAATCTAAAATAAGGGCGCCAGAACCAAATTTATCTTCTGGAATTTCACGCCTGTATGTAGGCAACCCAACCGACCGACGTTTCGCGCGGAGCGATGCAGAGCGAGTTAGCGCGAGGTAGCGACATGGGAGGGAAGGAGGGAAAACGACAGTCAAAAGCAATAACGTTTACAAGTGTTCAACGTGGCCACCGTTGTTCTCAATGCACTTCCTACATCTAGCCAACTATTATTATACTATTGCCATAGTGTTTATTCACTTGATACGCGTCGTTGCAGACGGGATTTCGTGGGTTTAAACAAAATTCTGATCAAGTGTCAGCCACACATCGCCGCCTGAGATCGCTCCGTGTGCACCGCCGGCCGGTTGGGTTGCCTACCTACAGGCGCGAAATTCCAGAAGGTAAATTTGGCTCTGGCACCCTTATTTTAGATTTCCGACCCCAAGTGTCCTATATCAAAATACTCCCCTACGCACCACCTACACGCTCCCAAACGGTGGCAGGTACTATAGGAATCACCCTGTATGATAAAACCCACAACTTTTGTATTTAAAGTTTTTGTCTATTTGTTATAATAAACGCGCCACACACTATCTAAATATACCGAATAACCCCGTACATATTCTTGATTTCAATAATTCCCATCCCAATTTTTTTATTGGTGAGGTTAAAATGAGGCTGACTTTAGTGTGCTAATTCACCATCATACACCTTATCATCACCTGTACTAACTTGTTAATTAAATTATGTGGATAATTGCTGAACAAGCTCTCCATCAACTTTCTGTTTGGATATTTGTTAATAGCCTGTTCCCACATAGTCGCCGGAAGCTCGACTACATCTTCGGGTTGCAAAGACACATCAAAAAATGAAAGCGGCATGGTTCTTTGCTCTATTTCGTCAAGTACTTCTTCTCGTTGAGCGGTCTGTGTAGAAGAAGATAATTGATATGTCACCAGAAAAAATAACACGAACCTTCTGCCTTCTAGCAAACACTCGGTCGTGAAGTAAAAGTAACAGTTCAGTGCGTCTTTGTTTATCGTCCATCGCGGCATATGTGTCATATTTCTGTTTTCGTTTTAAATCTTCGATAAGCTGATCGATAAGTACGTTTATGGTATCATTTTGTTGCGGTGGCACTTCCTCTAAACCACCAAGGGAGGTAAAGAAAAAGAACGTTAGTGAGTTCATACTTGCCATTAAGTTCACTATTAATATTCTGAAGAAGCGCTTCGTAATACGAAAGAACCTTTTCTCTTTCAACGGGATCTTTGCGTCGCAAAAGAATTCGTTCCATCTCCGACATTGGAGGTACGTATTCGGGAAATTTTTCTTCCATGACTCGGTCGAACACCCTAGAAGGAACCGAGATTGAATGAGTATTTTCAGTAACTATTAATGTACCCCTCGCCGCCGCCCAACCATTTCGGTTCCGCTTCTGCTAAAGTTACAGCTAAATAAGCAAATGCCCCTTCACCACCAGGAAGAGTTCGAGTAGCTAGATAGGTACGTCCATCGCGCGGATCATCTAAATCTGGAGCATCTGCCACTTCTTTTAACCAACCCGGCTCCTATAATTTAACTAGCAGTTTACGTCATTATTTAAATCTGTTTAGCATACGGCAAGATTGGAAGATAGATGTTCGAACGCTTGCATTGCATCAGAAATGTCAACTTCATTGGGATTCCCTAAAAATGGTCCGGCTAGCTTTCCATCTTGCATGCATAAGATCAGATTCGACAAATAAATATTGCGACCACGTTTTTTGTCAGCAGTAATAGGAGATCCGCACAATTTTTTCAGCCAAATCTACAAAATAGTAGATGATATTACGCACCTATCAATTTACATTTACATTGCAATGTGCTAATTCCGCTTCGTCCTTAAAGTTCTTAAGGTATTCGTTTATAAATCCCAAGTAGAATAGGAAATCTTGGTCTAATTTATTTTCGATACTTTTTTCTGTGTCCATTTTTGTGACATAAATTTAAAATTTTACTTGGCACTACGTTTCCATAGTATTCATATCTTTAAATCCGGGTTTACTTTTTACAAGCGTATCGGTGGTTCTGCATTTTATTTATTTTTAGCGCATTTTTGATTCTCAAAAAGGAGCTTCACTAATTGTCGGCTGTTCTGGCGCCTTTTATAAATCGATCGAGATTTCGACAACGGAATATCGTAGAACTATCGGGTTTTTCGCATTATATTTGTACTATCGTGTTATTCCTGCATCGCTAGTCTGAAAGCCGAAAGGAATTCTTGAAGTTGATAATTTATAAATTTCCTTTAAATGTGTTAAATAAAGAAAATAAGGAAATCGATATATTATATGACAGAAGAGACGCTTAATGCACTGGTGGTGTGGTGAACGCCATCCACTTTTCTTGTGTAACGCACAGCATGCTACAGTGACAATGGTTGTATTTTTGTTCAATAGGCTTAGCTAATTCGCAGACATACGTTTCTATGCCAATTTGATAAACACATTGTGTGTACAATAAATACCGCAACAAATTGGTACTTCTGTGATAGAATCAAAGGATCACGCCGCATCGGTAAACATTCAATCGCCAAACTTTTGATCATTCTTTCAAACATCTGGCAATTATCGAATTTTTTAGCGCATTTTTGCAAATTTATTTAGCGCATTTTTGCAAATTTATTTGTAAAAAGTAGCTTTTAATCTCACTTTGGCTGGCTGGCTGGTTGTCAGCAAATGTGGGCGCGTAGAACTCTTGTAGAAAGGCAACGGGTGTACATGTATCTACAAGGCCGTGTAATTTGTCAACCTTAGGAACAGGGCTACATGATGTAGGGTTGGCGACAACTGGGCGTCATCATCGAGCGTAGTATACTAACGTGAAGGTTTTTCAGTTTTTTCCTATCTTCTACTACAGTTTTGGTCCGATTCTTTTCAAATTGGTGTCGTCGGAAAGATGTTGTAAACGCGCACAACTCCTGCGTGGCGGAATTTTGTTTCTTGTCCCAGGGCCGAAATTAACGACCTTTTGCAAGGCGCGCGCGCGTCTTCGAGAGGTAGTCAACTTCGGGCACCTTTTACCTTCCGTTGCGAATTCGGTCACGCGTTTTAACGTTTTGTAAATCTCGAATCGCTGTCTCTCTTTCTCGTGTCGCCAATAGAAGCTCGAGCAATGAGAAGTGCCCCCAAAAATTAAGTACCTACTATCTTGTGGAAGGTTTTTAGCGAAATCCACCAAAATGTGGGTGTAATATAAGTATGCACCGAAAAAGGAAATGTGGTAGCCTCCGACAAGATCTAACTGATGGTGGAGTGAAAATTCAAACGCGAATTTGGGGTGAACGGTGCGTCGGAAGTGGGTACCGTGAAAGGGAATGTGGTAGCCTTCGACAAGATCTTTTATTCATGGTTGATTCAAAAGTGGCTAATAGAATACTGATCTGCCAAACAAAGATGCGCTGAAGTCCCTTCGATCTCACACGAGGACTTTGATAATTTTTTAAGTTTAAAGTGTGTATGGACTTGTTTGTACACTTTTTGCCTTGAAGAGACAGTCGCGGGGGTGGTAAATAACTGTTGTTTGGTTTTCACATGCATGTTACAAAATCAACATTTTATTTTCCACAATAAATGTTCTAACCTTCTAGTCCGTCGTACAGATAAGTTACCTCTATACGGTTTGATCTCGTACGTACAATCTCCAATATCTCTAACAACGTCTAATTCGCTAATAAAATATTAAAATTTGTTCTGTGTGATTGCGGTAAAGGCGAGAATAACGAACTGGAAATTCAAAGCAATTATTGAAGATTTGAACATTTACTCTAACTTCCTTATTTATGTTACTCCTCTACCGTATCCATCTCATGACGGAGGAATTTCATCAAACAAGGGTAGGTGCAAACATTCATTAAAAATTACAGTCCATTTAAATATACAACTGTTGTTATGTATTGTTTCTTACATGAACAATTACATTTATTTAATAAGCATCACATCAAGAATTAATACATTTAAATCGTAGACCTTGACTAACTGGCTGTGTCTCTGCATACATAATTATCATTGAGTTAGAAAACTAATGGAGGGAATCAAATGCTTGGCCAGACGTAGACCACGGGAACCAAAAGTGGCCTCTAGCTGTGATTAAAGTACCACACCACTTCCGTTATCATTAGCGTCTCACTTCAGTGGCGTAGAGATATAATTTTCTTTCCACTAATAGGAATAATAACAAAAAAAACGTATAGAAGGAGTAAAATACATGCTCGTGGTAAAGTAAACAAAATAGACAAGGATGGGAAAGTATGCAGATTTAATATAATCATTGATTACAAATCTAAATATACATCGATGTGTTCCAGTAGTATAATTAAGGCCAGTTTACTATAACCACTACAACTTGACAACTCCCATTAAATTCACTGTGTTGATCAATAGCTACAATTGACTGGTTGGTCTCAGGTTCATTACAACGGCAGAGAGATTCAATAATAATTTATTGTTTATTGGTCTCAAAATGTATCCGCACTCGTAATAGCTATTAACATACCAAGGTATGTTATGCTTATGACTATCATAACAGCCGCAGATGTCAGGTTAAAATCCGAGCGTAGCGAGGATTTTAAGATATCTAAGGCTGTTATGATTGCCATAACATCAGCGGTTTGTTCAATAGTTTATCGGTTGCAGGCGCACAATTCCCTACTTTTAGACAATTTCGTAAATTTGATAACCAAACAATTTTATCGTAATCATCAAAGTTGCCGTACATGTCTGTTGCTATGTTAAAATTTGGTTGTTATGGTTGCGAGTGTTGCTAATCAACAGAACCTATTTTTACATTTGGTTAATTAGAAAATGAGTAGGTAGATATACAGGGTGTCCCTAAAAGGTCTGTACAACGCCCTACCAGGGTTTCTTGGTATCAAAATAGGACGATTTAACCCAACTTACCTCTATCCAAAAGTGCCTCGGTAAGGCGCTATCTACCGCCAAAGATTAAAAAAAAAATCGATATTTTTATTTTATCGGAAAATGGTTTTGCCGATTAAAATGAAATTCGGGATGTGAATGTCTAATGTAAAAAGGGTTTTTGTGATATCATCGTTTTGATCGTAGTTGCTATGTAGGTGGTAAAATACTGACCATCCACATCTGAAGAGGTCTAAAACTTTTTAACTACTATTTTGACGGTTCTGAATTTTTAGACACTGATAGACAGTTTACTTGCAAGCATTTTTTGTCTCTAGATGAATATCGCTATCTGTGATGGTTTACGAAAAAAAAAATTTAGGCATGATGAATGGCATGCACCATACATGCTAATAGTCCCATAGCCCCCCCCCCCTAAATCCGGCACTGAATTCAATGATCCACCACAATCAACATCTTCATTGTCATTAATTATGACTCGTTTTCTCATCTGTGGTTCGTTGAAGGCGTATCGTAAATGATTACTGTTTCTTCTTACGATGTTGCCTCTATCATTTTGTACCAAATACGATCGTGGGGCTACATGTTTGTCGATAATCTTTCCTGGTTTCCATTGGGCGCGTTCGTAAGACTCAACGGTTACTGGTTCGCTGCTTTGTCGCCAACCGGGAACGGTTGTGGGTTTTATAACACGACCGCTACTTTGTATGGGATTAAACATGCGCTGTATTGATTCGTTATTTCGTGGTTACCATTTTGAAAATATAAACAAACGCTAAACAAGGCGTGTTGGCGGTGTGTTGCACATGTTTTCTGCGAGAGGACAATTATAGCTGTTTTTTAGCGAGCGATTGGTTTGAAACAGTAATTCGAACCGATTTCACTGTGACGTCATTGGTTTAAGTGATCGCTAAAATGGATGTTTTTAAACCATTTTAAATGTAAACATAACCTATATTTCCACACATAAGTGAAATGATCAAAATCAACTTTTACATTACATTACTGAATTCGAGACCGAATCAATGATGTTGCTATTAAGGGTAATACAACATTCAAACGATAATAATGACCATTCATTTATTTCTGCATTATTAATGCTACAAAATGAACAGCATTTGAGAATTAAAGGATTTTACGAGGGACTGGATGTGTATTTGGATTCGGATTTTTTTAATTTATTCCGTATGAGTAAAATCGCATTTAACAACCTTTTTGAAAAAGTAAATTGTATGGAGTTAAACAAGCCCTACACTGGAGGAGAACATCAAATTCCTGCTCGGAAACAGCTCTTGTTAACAATTTGGTGGTTAGGCAAGGGAGAGACCTTAATTTCTGTGGCAGACAGATTTGATGTCAGTTTGAGCACAGTATATCATTGCACAAATTTTTTACTTTCAAAGTTACTATCTTTACAATCAAGATATATTACATGGCCTGATCTTGCAGAAGTGTCGAAAGTTGAACTAGATTTTCGTGAGCGATGTGGATTTCCAGGTAAATTCCTTAGAAAATATGCTCTGTCATAATAAAATAATGTTACAGGAGTTGTTGGAGCGATAGATGTTTGCAATATATGTTTTAAACCGCCCGTGGAACACCAAGAAAGCTACATAGATCGCAAAATGCAGCACTCTATTAAACTTCAAGCGATTGTAACATCACAAAAAACATTTACTAATGTAAAAAGAATACACCTATAATTCACTCAACGGTAGTAGTATTTATTTATTACTCTTTGCTACGCATTTGTTTGTCTAAAATTGCAGTTTCAATATAGCGCCCTCTAGTAATAGCTAAATAAAACAAACAATCGAATTGCCACCTGTCATTTTTAGTACGGAAACAGAACACTATCGTAATAGTCTGTACTGTAGTGTACTTTATAGAACAGATACCTTAGTAAATTGTTGTATAAAATGTTAAGATGTCGCTGTGGTGTTTTGGTGAAGCGTCGGCTTTACCTCGTAATGTTTTTCCAATCACAATGCTAAATGCAGCTTTTAATTTTTAAAAAAATAGTTGTGTGTATATAGTGATATTTAAATGGTCATATTATTTAACAAGCTTCTTTTTTAACTGCATCGCGTGAATTTTTTAGTTTGATACAAAATTTAACCTTCAATTTTATTCGTATCATCAACCTCTGTGGGTACATTGGGACAAGGCGTGTATTAAATCTTACATTCATCACTTGGAAAGATAGAAGTGAACTTTTTTATACATTTATTTGGTGTAATTTATCTCCAGGTTTGTGTGTAAAACATAAACCATGAGTAACGCTATTTATGTTGCTAAAAGTGAAACAGTGCCCAGTATACCGAATGTATGCAGATTATGCAGTGCTGAAGACGAAGAGAATCTTATTGATCTTTTCAATCCGCAAACTCCAGTGCTTAATTTCTTCCGAAGCGTAATTCTGTACGGAACTGGTCTCGAGGTAAATATTTTTAGTTTGTAGCTTGTAATTAACTGCATATCCATAAGTATTTCAAAATTGTAGAGTCTGATGTGTAAATTGTGGATATCGGTGCATATGTTCACTTTCTTCCCATTATTTCATTTTACCAATACGTGAAGAGATTAATGAAATTGGATTGGTAAGATTGTCAGTGTTATAAACAAATGAAGAATCATTGCATTAATGTTGATCGAACTTTAGCCAACTGGTCGGTACTGACGTTATGCAGAGAAATGTTGCATAAAGAGTATAGCAACAATTTGAAGCATCTAGACAACTAACCATACACTAAGGTATTACACATGTACTTGGTGACACAAGGTGACGAATTTCAATCTGTTCAGTTTCGTTTCCTTTCTTTCCATCCGGTGTATTTGGCTAAAACATGGCGAATCTCCTAACTACCCATAGAAAATAACACCACCGTATGACCGCACTGTCTCTATAGAGTCGCTGTAGGTTCACTGATAACAGATGAATCAAATGTAATCAATGGGCATGTTGTGTTCACGACAACTTTGTTCACTTTGTCCCTCGCTTTGTCCCCATCACTGTTTCCGTTAATTAGCAGTATATCTCATGTGACATCAAATAAAAGCTTTTGAAAAATCGCATTTAATTTGTGTAAATAAATGACGTTTAGGTCGGTCTAGATGTACTGATATGAAGGCACAAGACAAAATTGTAATTATTAAGTCGGAAAATAACTAAAGTAAGAGACGATAAAAAAAATCGTGTGAAAATACATTTAAATTTTATGATATTATTATTTATATTTATTATATTAAGGTAAATGCACCAATAATGGGTCGCATAAGGACGTTAACTCATATTTCTCTTGAAGTAGGACAATGACAATGACGGCAAGCCGGATTCTACTACTATCAACTTTTGTCTACAATAATCAATGGATGTAACGTTAACATGCACCTTCTAAAGTACCATTAGATAATTCCAAACATTCTCGGGAGCATGTACCAATAATGAACACCCCTCATATGTGTAGATCTAATAATGGACCCCCCAAAATTGAGCCAACATTGGAATGACTTTATATACTGTTTAAACCTGGATTTAGACAAGAAATGTTACGAACTCATGAGAATATTAAATTAGTATTTTAATAAATGGTAGATTTTACAAAAAACACAGTCATGAAAAAAGTATTATAATACAAAAAAAATATAAAATATTACATTTCATTGACGGCAACTTTTTTTTTGAAAACATACGTCAACCTTCTATCAACCATTGCAACTTCGGGTTGGCTGACTACACCTAGGACTTGATTAATGGAAATGAAAGAAATGTCATTCTCAACTATAACAAATTTCATTTTTTCTGTATCTACTGATTTTAGTCCTTGTACTTTAATCCCTTCAGTACCTACCATGTTCTTGAACTATACACAAATACGTGTATTTTGTAGATTTTCTTTTACCACCCATGAATTCTACCCAAACGTAGTTCCCTGTTTTAACTTCCTTCGTTTGTACGGCAGGTTCTGTCTTCACTTCCATCAGTTTCTACATCCCATGGTGAATCGGATGACTCCTGTAGTGGTGGTTCCAAATCACTAGCAGATGATTCTGATTCATCGTGTAATCCTTTTTTCTTTTTTTCTGCTGCAATCCTATTTTTTTCTTCTGTGGTTCTTTTCTTTTCTTCTCGTTTCATTTTTCTTTCTTCTTTTTCTTCTTCTTTTTTTTGCTTTAATTCCTCTTTCTTCTTATAGTAAGTGAGCATACTTGGAGACGTACACACAACGGGAATTTTTTCCTTCGCTCTCTTTTTTGGGCCAGCTGTTTGAACCGGCCATAAAAACGCCCTTTTAAATGGTGACGGCGAGGGTGACGGAATCATAGGCAAGTCTGACCTAGATTCTGCTGCTCCCGAGGCTGCCACCGTATTTGACAACTCGCCCGTATCAACATCTGTTGGTGTTTTTGGGGCTGCATATGACGTTCCCGGTTGTTGTGTTACTGGTGTAACATCAAGAATAACATTTTGTGGAGTTGAGGCTAAAGATTCTGAAGGAGTGCTAACCGTTGGTTGTTTTGCGTCCACAAATGCCACCTTTTGATCATAAAAAATGCTAATAAAGTTAATACTATTTATTGAAGCACCTACCTGCACCTCCAAATCTAATTGGTTTGTAGTTTTTTTCCATATAGCATATAAATCACTATCTTCTACTGACCCTGTCCACTCACCCTGACATGTTTTAAACTTGTTCAATTTTACTTCACCTATTTCATGTTGAAACATTCTTAAAAAAATTTCCAAGTCTTTATTTTTAGTTGATCTGTCAGTTTTGCTCACATCAGGTTCGGTACTTCCCTTTTGAATCTTAACCTTTTTGGGATCCCATGGCATAAGACCACATGCTTTAAATCCATTGCTGATTGTCTTATCTGACAATTCATCTAGAACGGACTTCAGCACAGGAGCGAAATCATGCTTGAGAATTTGTTTCCCATCATTGGCCATTCTCCATTCCGATACTTTTTGCTTCCAAGTTGCTTTTAATGTATGGAATACGGCCACGTCCATTGGTTGTAAAAGGTGAGTTGCATTCGGAAAAAGTGCCACTAGTTCTATTTCATGCTTTAAACAAAAATTAGTCAATGGTAGAGACATGTGACGTGTGACCATCCATGAAAAAAACGACTGGTCTGGCTATATTGTTCAATGTTAACCACGGTTCGAATATATTCGCCATATATTCGTAAAACGTTTCTTGCGTCATCCAGCCATTTTCTGACCTTCCCATTGCCCATCCAGGTGGTACCGAATGAGCTATGTTGGCGGGAATTCTTGCGTACCTGTAAAGTTTCCACTATTGGCAAATGCAAGTGCTTAGAAGGACTGTGAATATGAATCAAAAAAGAATAATAAATAGGTACCTATACCCAATCATCAGTGGTGCAAGCTGACCTGCAGCATTTGCAGTAATCAAAACCAGGGGTCTTTCACTGCTTATTATTTGTACATTATTTCCGAAATACCCGTATTTCCAAATATATTTCCACTATTTCTTATATTTCCATTTATTTCCATTCTATTTCTACTATTTCCATCTATTTCGATTATTTCCGTTTATGACCGAAGTCGTATTTCTGTACCACGTTCTGAAATTTCAAGCGATATTTATGCATATTCAGGTTAATCGGACTGGGAAAACTAAGAACTGATATTGAAATAGTCAACTTGTAGATGGAATTTTACTCAAGAATTTCAAAAAAACCTCGAAAAAAACAATATTTAGATCTCGATTTGGATTAACATATTTTATTTTATAACAATAACAAAAAATTTCATTCTGAGACAAGTAAAAAAATAAAGTAAAATACATTCATTTAATTAATAACTATATATAAAAACTGGTATGTAATGACGAGGCTTTTACGGTTGTTTGCATTACATCTCGCATTACATCCTTTTCTCAAATATATCAATATTATTTACGAATGATATATTTAAATTTCTCCCCGCCATCGTAAAAGTTGGGTCAGGCGAGGGGCAAACCACTAAGCAACATTTGTGACAGTATTGCGCAAAACTGGGATTTCTCATGATTTTTTTGCGATTTCGCATGATTGCGCCAGATTTCGCAAGATTGCGCCGGATTTCGCACGATTGCGCCGGATTTCGGACGATTGCGCCGGATTTCGGACGATTGCGCCGGATTTCGCACGATTGCGCAAGATTTCGCTGGATTGCACAGTAATTCGTAGGATTGCGCGGGGGGATAGTGTGGTGTTATTTTTCGCCCAATTATGTGCGATGCTGAAGCCTTATCAGATTTTTTAATAAATACGGGCAGTTTTTTAAGGGTTTTGTAGAAGACAATAAACGAATACCTATGTCTTACAAAAAATTTTAATAAAAAAAATATTAAGAAACATGTCTAAAAAACAAAACATTTTACAAAAACTCTTTTAGCTCTTTCTTAATGGTCTTAAAAATTTGCTCAATTTTTATTTTCTCATTTCGTCTTAAATGAAAAGGTCCATTACCCATTAATGACACTGGACCATAAAAAATGAACTTATTGTTAACAATTTGTTTATCGTCCTCTCTTGGCCAAACATACTTATCTAGTTCTAATTTTAAAAACTTTATCTCACTTTTTGCATTATCTACCACTTTTATGATCCTTGCAATATACCAGCTTTCGTAGCATACTGCATAATAAGCTTCCTGTTGTATACTTATATTTCGACTTATATTACTTACTTCCGAGCTTATTTCAGAATCATCGTCTTCCGAAAAGGTTTCATTCTCAAACTCGCTATGAACAGACAACGAATCACTTACTGAAGTCTCAGAATCTGAGATATTCTCACTTTTCTTCTTCTGCTGAGTCTTCTGAGTTTTCAAATTTTGTGTGTTTTTGACCGGGTTGTTGACACATTTTTTGCCTATTTTTTCATTAATACCTGATGTTCTTTTTTTTGAGGAACTCGTTGGTCCACTCATAGCTTTGCATCGAATTAACCTATCGCTCGACAAGCGTCCTTTTCTTTTGAAAAACAGCCAACATAAAGTTGATTTTTTAACTACCATTTCTTTATCATTAATTTTAATTTTGATTAAAGAGATGTCTGATATGTCTGTTTTGCATCCGCTTAGGTCTTTTATATCTAAGGATGTAAAATTTTGCAAAATCTCTTCATCTTTGTTAATATCTTGTATATCTTCTTCATTTGCGGTTAATTGGGTTTCTGATAATTGTTCTGCTTCATCTTGAAGTGCCGTCGAGGTAACATTGGATTGAAGCAAAAAATTGCTGTCTGTATGGTCAGAATCATCTTCCGTTAAAGCTGCCTCCCACTGATTTTCTAACATATCTATTCCTAGTATTTTACAATCATTGACTGCATCATCTCTGGCTTTTATTATAACATTTCGTAATTCTTCGGTTGGCGGAATAAATGTTTCTTTGTTTCTTAAATTAGCACCTAGCTTCTTGTTTCTCTCTCTGGAGAACACGAATTTGTCTCCTAAAAAACACATATAATTAAGTAAGTAAGTAGGGTCAAGTGGGGGAATTGTAAACGGTTTTTGCTAGTCTGGACAGTATATTTTCATAAAATATGGAAATGTTAATTTTTCGAAGTTAAATTATAAAAACAACGTTATTTGATGTCTTTTGTTTCACGTTATGCAACTATGAAATGTTAAAAACGTGACTTTATTTGTTTAAAAACAAGTTTACAATTACCCCATCAGTTTACAAATACCCCCAAGTCTTTGGGGTAATTGTGAACACTATTTTAATAAACTATGAAGGCAAATGGAGTAAAACTTCGGGGAATTGTAAACAAATTAGGTAGCTAACTAACCATAGAAATTTAACAGACTAGATCGTTGTTTACAATTACCCCTAATCAATAACTAAAGACATGTTTTAATACAGATATTTTATTTTGAAAATGCCTACCTACTTCTTTTCATTTACAGATACATAACCTGGAAAAACATAAATTAGCTTGCGTTCACGTGATTCAATTGTAGGTTGTGGTAGCATTGCTTTTATTGCAGAAAATGGAATATTTGAAATGTCATTTTCAATTACCTATAATAAATTCAGTGTTAATATTGTTAACACTCTTCATTCCAGTAACACAAAATTCTTCTTTTCCCACTAAATTATTCACAACACACAGGTAAGTATAGTGAGTTTTATTTCTTTTCCCACCTACAAAGTCTGCTAGCACATATGAACCTGGAACGATCTCATTATAATTAGGTGGTTCGTAGTTTACCTCAGGTGTATTTTCCATTTCCATTTCAATTATGAATTGTTCTTCAGTATCGTCATCGGTGTTATCCTCGTAGATATCCTTACTTTTATCTACTTGACTTGGATTTACTTCCTCTAATTCTCTTGACTTCTTGGTTTTTTTTACATTATCTGTATTTTTTTGTGTTCTCTTTTTTGCAAGTGAATTTTTCTTATCTTTTTTTTCTTCAGCTTCTATCAACCTTTTCATTACTTCTTCAGAAGTTAAGACCTCCCCATAACTAAACTGGGTTAGTCTTCGAACAACAGTAGATTTGTTTTTATTCGTATCAGGTTTTTGAGCTTGGTTTTTTTTTTCTAATACTGATGAAAATATTTCCACTACGGTTCGGGGATTATTCAAAGGTTTCATTGGGGAAGGTTCAGTTATTCGTGTTGATAAATCCATTGCCACATTTTGAACTTCTGGGCTTAAGCAATCTTCAATTCTTGATGCTGAAATAATAGTTTTTGTAGGTGTTGAATGCATTACAAGTTCTTGCGTGTCGCTAGATGAAGTGGATGGTTGTGAATTCCACATATTAGTATTAGACACAAGAACAGTATTTTTTTCAGTGTTTTCAGTAGATGTAGATGGTGTTTGGTGCTCGATATTATTTTGAGGCAAGTTATTGGTCTTCTCAATCTCTGTACTTGTGCACCGTTTTGCATGTTTGTACTTCTGAAGGTCTACGGGATCGAATAAATTTTCTGGAAATTTTGCTGGGTCAATAGGATATGTTCCAGTAGAGACAAAGCCACTAATAATATTTTTTGAAAGCAATGATTCTCGCAGCACTTCTCCAAGGAAAACTGCAAATTCTGCCTTGCTGAGACGACCAGTTCCTTGTCCAACTTGCGTCTTTCCATATTGCACCAATTTTTTATCCCACTTTACTTTGATTGGTCCAAACACACATTTGTCGAGGGGTTGGATTCTATCAGTCAAGTGAGAGGGAAACCGTACAAGCTCTATTTTATTATTCATAGCCTCTTGTATTATTCTTATGCTATAATGACTGGCATGGCCATCATACATTAAAACTGCAGCTTGTTCATGGTTATTGTTGCGAATGCTGTTTACATGAGGTATAAAACAATCTTTGAACCAGTAAAAAAACTGTGGTTCTTCCATCCACCCATTAGAAGAAGCTGCATATCGGGTTCCAGGATAAGATTCAGCAGATGTCCATCGCGCCTGCACAGCAGCCCCCTTGAAAACGATTAACGGTGGAAGAAAAAAGCCATCAGCTGATACGCAAATCAGAACGGTTGTTGATTCACGTCCGGATCCTCCTGATATTCTACACAGGGCCTTGCCTTTTTCCCCGAGTGCTCTTAGTCGGCTGGGATCATTGGCAAAACCACTTTCGTCGCAATTAAAAACAAATTTAGCATTATCCGCTCCCTTCAGATCATGCTTGTTGTAAACTTCCTCTAATTTTGAATAAAAATCATAAACTATTGCTGGGTCACGAGCCGTTTTTCGGCATTTTTGTAGATGTTCAGGCTTCTTTAAGCTAATATTACTATTTCTCCTCATGAAACTTTGGTACCAGTCCTCACCTGGTAAACTATTATGAAATGGATTCGGTATATCATTTGCTTTTACATATTCAGACACCAATTTCTTTAGTTCTTCCTTATCACAAGGAAAGCCAATTTGTGCCCGAGCTATTAAGCATGTCGCAATTTGCTTTTCAATATCGGGATTAAGTACTGGTGGGCGACCTGCACCCATTCTATCTAAGGAAACTTTTCGGCCCTTCATTCGATGATATATAACCGAAATAGGAACCCCATATTTATCTTGTGCTTGGCGATATGTGGCATTGCCATTTTGAATATCATTTACAGCATGCTCGATATCTGCTACAGAATAATTAGGTGGCTGTCTTTTTTTTATATATGTTCTAGGCATATTGACCTGAAACAATTGCCTATTTAAATAGCTTACAATGCTCAGAACTAGCATGAAAACTAAAAAAAAGTTGAAAAAACAATTAAAAAATGAAAAAATTTAAGTTTACAATTACCCTGTATGTGTTGTTTACCATTACCCCATTACACAAAAATTAGGGGGAAATGTAAACATACCAATATTTTTCCTCCTAACCCATAAATTTTCAATAATATTGATTTTACATGATTCTCAATACATTTAACTATCAAGCGATAATGATACTTTTACTTACCAATGAATGAGTTCAAAGACACAACACTTTTGTTAAATCAACGTAAAACCGAAATTCACTTTGCGAACAGGTGGTTTGTAAACTACACTATGAATGGGGTACAAAGAGACTGAACATAGCCGCAAATGCACCAATGGGCAGCAGACATTACAGGAGTACCAGTGTTGTCAATAGCACATAAAAATAATGTGGTTTAACAGAGTTGCCAATGGTGTTTACAATTACCCCTTGTTCACAATTCCCCCACTTGACCCTAGCAACAATTAAATTATTGATTAATGGCTGATTTAAAGCTAAGCAAATCGAGTCAGTGCAATAATTAGTTGTTACCACAAATACTGTTTTAGGCCTAAATTTCTTCAGTATAATTTTAAAAGTCATCTCTAGTACCCACCACTTACATAAATTTAATGAAATTTTGTCGCATCTAATAGTGAGTTCCACAGTACTGCTAAGTAGTAGAGATTTTCTGTTACATTTATTGCATTAGACACAATTTCATGCTTAGTAAAAAAATTAATAAACTAAGCTCGAAACTAAGGTAAGCTGTACTTAATATGTCTTTTTCTTTTCTTACTATTATGTAATGCTATACAATATCCAATAAGCTTCTTTATTTACTTTACCTGAATCGTTTATTATACTATTTATAGCTTGAATTCTGTGTCTTCTTCTTAACAAATCCAGCATGTCAAAATTTACGACAGTTGACCAAGTTGATGTCATCGACCTCGTCTGCCTAAAGAATTTTTCACACGGTTGGCTGCTATAAATCCATGGTAACACAAATTCAGGATTGCTTCTAAACTTTTCAATGAGGATCATATAACCATGTGCATTTAATTCTATGCAAGTATATGTATTCAGAGTGAGCCAATTTTTTGCCAAGGTGTAGTTGCTTTGTTCTTTAATCCAAGCTCTCCATAGACGTAAAAAGAGCGTTACATACCAAATTAAGTAAACTCTTTCCTCTATTGATAATGACTTATCCAAGTATGAATCCAAAATGTATCGAGTGAGAACAAGCAACTGACGGGTAGCTTTACATACATCACTGGTTAGTAAGCTGATCACACGAGTGGACGACAATTTGTCGATGGCTTCAAAATTCATTTTATCCGAACCTAACAACGAAAAATAAAAGCTAAGCAAATTTTCACAAAGGACTGAAAGAAACTGGGTATTTACTTTTAGTAATTACACCCTGTATAAAAAAAGCAGTAATGTTACTTACTATCCAGATAACTAAGGCATAATAAATGTTTGTCTTTGGAAACAGTGTTAATCAAATCGGTTAGATGATCCTTCGACACTTCGTAATTTCCCATTTCCAACACAATTTTTTCATTCAATAATCTGTTCTTCATTTTAGTGGCAATATGTACTGTGTCTTGAATTGGCACTAGATTATTTATGTCAAAATTTGCCTGAAAGGGTAAATAAATTTACTTTTATGAACATTAGAAAAAACCGGAAATATATTTGTATTTAAATAATCCAAAAAAAAACAATTTTTATAATCTACTTAGTTCTTTCCTCGGTTCTTTCTTTGTTTAATTCCAGAGAAATAAAAAAATTACCTGAAAGTATGGTGAATACGGTGTCTCTTGTTTGGAGAAAGCAGGAAGTCCGGCTATTATTTTCATGGCTTTTAAGCAACGAGAATCCCCATCAGAAGAAATTCCATCGACTACAATATTGTAATTTGTGGTTTCTTGTTGTATATATTTCCATCTTAATAATACATCTTCATGTGTAAATGTGTTATTACTCCCAAACAAAGTCAAGCAAAATGCGGCAGCCCCATCTTGTAAAGGCTGAGCCATAAAAACATAGGCATTTTTTGCAAGATCGCTATTTTCTATAATATTTTTAATATTAGAGACTGAATTTATTAAGTTTTGATTCGTCTTCGGAAAACCAGTGTGTTCCAAATTAGTAAGAACATAGCCTACTAACTGGTTGGTTGACTGATCATAACGCGGTCGCCTCACAATAGCCGTTTGATCTTCTGAAATAAAAATCCGAAGAGGGTAATTTCTTTTTTCTAAGAATTCTTTTAACTGACCAAATGCTAATTCTCCTTCTCCACATTTTTCATAATTTTTTGACAAGCTTCTACTTAAAGTTGAAACAGAAGGAAGTCCGTTTGGAATATTAGCTACCAGAGTCTCATATGCAAGACGCCCTGAAGTTAAAAACAAATAAAGGCACAGATTTTTTAGTTCATCTGGGTACCGATTAGCAGAAGAGCTTTCTGAAGAATTTTTATTTACGGCTCTTATAAGCATTTCAAAAAACGATTCTGGGCCAAGTTTTTGACACTCATTATTTAACATTTCTGGTTGTCTATTTTCACAAAACATGTTTGCTGATGTTGAAAAAGCTTTATTTAGCGTTGCGTTTTTAAGTATTTGACTTTTTATTTCTTCACAAATTTTATAAAAGTCGGTGATTTTAGTCTGACTAGAATCAAAATTTAATTTTTGGTAGGAAATTTTTTTTTCCGTTCTTGAACGACTTTTAGGCGTGTTTTCAGCCGGCGAAATATTCAAGTTACACACCGTTTTACCCTCGGTT